TTAAAAGGATAATTAAAATGTTAATCTCCTCATGGCAGCAGGGCGATGTAAATTTAAAATTATAATCTCTTTATGGCAGACGTACTAGAAAATTAAATGATAATCTTTTTATGACAGTCGCACTCGAAAATTAAAAGATAATCTCTTCATGGCAGAAGCACCCAAAATTTTTTTTTATGTCAGGCGCACTCGAAGATTAAAATGATAATCTCTTTATTGAAGACGCACTCGAAAATTAAAATGATAATCTCTTAACGACAGGACGATGGAAAATTAAAATAATTATTTCTTTATGGTAGAAGTAGTCGAAAATTAAAATGATAATCTCTATACGTCAGGGCGATGGAAAATTAAAATTATAATCTCTTTATGGCAGAAGCATTCTAAAATTAAAATGATATTCTCTTTATTGAAGGCACATTTAAAAACTAAAATGATAATCTCTTCATGGCAGACGCACCGAAAATTAAAATGGTAATCTCTTTATGGAAGACGCACTCTAAAATTAAAATGATAATCTCTTTACCTCATGGTGATGGAAAATTAAAATGATAATCTTTTTATGGCAGAAGCACTTGAAAATTAAAATGATAATATCTTTATAGAAGACGCGCTCGAAAATTAAAATGATAATCTCTTTACGTCAGGGAGATGGAAAATTAAAATGATAATCTTTTTATGGCAGAAGCAGTCGAAAATTAAAATGATAATCTATTTATGGAAGACGTACTCGAAAATTAAAATGATAATCTCTTTATGGCAGAAACACTTGAAAATTAAAGTAATAATCTCTTTATGTTAGGCGCACTCGAAAATTAAAATGATAATCTCTTTATATCACGGTGATGGAAAATTAAAATGATAATCTCTTTATGTTAGGCGCACTCGAAAATTAAAATGATAATCTCTTTATATCACGGTGATGGAAAATTAAAATGATAATCTCTTTATGTTAGGCGCACTCGAAAATTAAAATGATAATCTCTTTATATCACGGTGATGGAAAATTAAAATGATAATCTCTTTATGGCAGAAACACTTGAAAATTAAAGTAATAATCTCTTTATGTTAGGCGCACTCGAAAATTAAAATGATAATCTCTTTACGTGAGGGCGATGGAAAATTAAAATGATAATCTCTGTAAGTCAGGCGCCCTTGCTATTAAGCTTCGATTAGCATGAGTGGTTATAATTTTAGCTTTTCTGCCATGAGACCCGAGTTCAAATCTCGCCGTATTCAATTCGACTTGATGACTTCTTTATAATATCAGCCCCGAGGAGCCAATGACAGTGTTCAACACTTAGTAAGTATCTGAAATTGTTACCACCATCTTTTCAGTTTAAATGAGATTGACGAAACTATCACAAGCTTAAAGTCATAAGTCCGAATGTTTGAGGGGACAGGACATGTGGGTCTAAAAGTCACACCCCATTTTGCTCTCTCTAGCTCTTTGCTCTCTTCCTTTCTCTCTCTCACTCTCTCTCTCTCTTTCTCTCAGAAACTGAAACTAAAATCTGAAAATATAAAATATGAAAATAAAATGAAAATAGAAAATATGAAAGCTTAAAGTCATAAGTCCGAATGTTTGAGAGGGCAGGACTTGTTGATCTAAAGGTTATACCCGATTTTGCTCTCTCTCTCTCGATCTCTCTTTCTTGCTCGGTATATCTCTCTCTCTGTATCTTTCTCTCAGAAACTGTAACTAAAGTTGCAGCATAAACACCAGGATGGCTTTATAGGTTATGGGTGTTGAAATGAATCCTTGTTGAATATGGGGTTCTTGGTCAATAGACGAACGGGAAGAAATATTTGCAGACATTTCCGCGTGATACGAGTTGCCAAGAATCTCTAAATAAATGTATAAAAGAGGAATTGCTGCCTAAAACACACACACACACACACACACACACACACACACACACACACACACACACACACTCTCTCTCTCTCTCTCTCTATATATATATATATATATATATATATGTTTGTGTTCGTGTGTGTGTGTAAAGTTATTGATATGGACACAGGTGTTTAACTCGTAGGTGTAGCGAATATTTTTATTCTTTTATGGTTTCATCTTTGATACTGTGTTTGATTATCGGATCATCCGATTGCAAGAGGAAATTATATATATATATATATATATATATATATATATATATATATATATGCAAGAGGAAATTATATATATATATATATATATATATATATATATATATATATATATATATGTATATTTATAATGGTAGTTAATGCAAAATACAGGTACCAGACACATAACATAACAGATGATGTACAGTCAGTCCTGCGCGCGCACACGAGCATTTGCCGCCAAAGGCCTAAGCCGTTCACGTTTCTACAACGAAGAAAGCAGAGCACAATTAAGTGTGTCGAACGCTTTGAAACGTGACACGTGTCTTTATAGGTTATGGGTGTTGAAATGAATCCTTGTTGAATCTTGGCCAATAGACGAACGGAAAGAAATATTTGCAGACATTTCCGCGTGATCCGAGTTGCCAAGACTCTCTAAATACACAGCGAAGTATCAAATCATATTTTGTCAAGAATCTCTAAATTCGTAGCAGATTCTAGCGTGAAACGTTGTTCAGCACGGCCGAATCTTTCAGTGACCCGATCTTTCTAGCAGCAGATCTAGCAATTGACTCTGTATAATATTTCCACTTCATGTTAGCAGAAAACTTCAATTCCGGAAGGCACAATGAATCATGTTACGAAACGTTGGGAATATGGCAATGAAGATGGGGATAACAGTCCGAATGTAAATAATACAAGCCTTGTTTGTTTCTTGGTAAACTAACTTCTGACTGTTCAAAATTAACAATTAGCGATTTCTCTTGAAAATTTGGCATAGCGATATTATCAAATACCAGCAGAAAAAGGGTTTAGCCCCAAGGTCATTCATGCTGATATTGTTGCTAAATTAGATGATGACTCTCCAGCTTCATCATCTGTCCAAAAGTGGGCAGCTGAATTTAAGGGAGGGAATAAGGGAGAGTCTTAAAAATGACCCACTGGCTGAACGTCCTGCAGCTGCTAACACCAAGGAAATCATTGATCGTGTTCACCACTTGGTACTGAATGACAGGCTATTGAAAATATATTGAACTTGGCATGACAACATTCTGCTGGGTGGGTGCCACGTCTTCTGACACCTGATCAAAAGCGCACCAGGCTGATCGCACCACAGGAAAATCTGATATTGTTTGAGGCGGATCCAGGTGGTTTTCATGATCGTTTCTTGTACATTTGAAGCCTTCTTTGAACAGTCAGATGTCAGTTTCTATGGAAAGCAACAATACAGTTATTAATAAGACGAGTTGAAATTAATGCATGCAAGATTCCATAGCTCTCGAATCACT